TGGTTTATTGGGGATCATTCAAATAAGTAGTTAATTCTAGGTAAGACCATTATTTTAATCGAGGCACCCATGAGGGAGATTGGAAGCGATTTCCATCTTTCTACTGTAGGTCCTCTTCTATCTTTTTTAAAAGCAGGATGTGGTTAAGTTTTAGTAAATCAGCTAATTTAGATGACACAGTAATTCCCAAACATTTGATGTTTCTTGTTTGCAGTTGTAAAGCTAGGGGATTATGTAGAGAGCAATTCATTGGTAGTTCTATAGATTTGGGCCAATTTGTAGAGTGATCTGAAACTTTTGAGAAAGATTCTAGTAATCTAATTACTTAAGAGAGGCAAGTGTTTGAGTGTTGGAGATAAAGTAATGCATCATCTGCATAAAGACTAATTTTCTGCTCTATTTTCATGCATTTTATTCATTTAACCACATTAGATTTTCTAATTGTTGCTGCTAGAGGCTCAATAAGAATGGAAAAAGAGAGCGGGCGTCCCTGCCTAGCCTAGTGCCCGTCTGGAGGGATTTACATTAAGTTTACATAACAAATTCTTCTGCCGGGGTCTGTGTGCCAAAGAACTTATTTCATTCAGGCCAATAAAACCTTTCTAATTGCATCTTTTCCTGGTTTGAGTCTCTCCAGTTTGAAATTAGACTAAATGAAGCACGAGCAAACCACATCCTTTTTTTGCTAAATAAAGTACCCCCAGAAAAAATTCAGACAAAGAAGTTGACCTTGCAAGGCGTTTTTTTGCGGTTTTTTTTTTATGTAATTTTAAACATGTGAAATAGGTTTATGTCTCCAGTGACTTACAGATCACTTTTCTACAAAGAAGGGACTAATTAGCTTGCTTCATTGAAATATGTGTGTTTTTACATTATTTCTAAACAGGTAATAATGATCGATATGAACAACAAACATTTATTTTTTCGGGGACACCAAAGCACCTTTACATCATATGTTTGTTTGGAAGCCCCAGATCTAAACTCAACATATCAAATCCATTTTGTTTATATTCTTTGTCATTGTATGAATCCATGTAGATGTTTTATAGCAAGTTAATCACTCACCATATTTGGCAGTTCTCTCTTTCCTGCAAGAGAAAAGTGGAATTTAGAGCAGTGTTTTACTTTATTACAGCTACTCTGAACAATGTATTATAAAGTACTGTAATATTTTTCTATTTGTTTGTTTCTTAAAACCAAAAAGATTTTGTTCTGATCCATCACTTGTTTTCAATGTCAGATTATTGTGTCTGAACACTTCCACAAACAAAAAACCCGAGCCATGCCAGATGCTCTGAGAAGAAGAAACAAACATGAAGCTGCTAGTTTGGTTTCTGCTTTAGCTTAGCAAGTTGCATGCTTACCAAGAATAAAAATATCCTCTTTTCCCACAGTGGGGAAATTCAGGTGTGCCTGTAGCAAAGCAAAGGGATATGAAAGCAAACAGGTTCATACAATTCTAAAAAACTGCTTAAAAAATACAAGACCATAATATATGGAAATATAAATCAAGAATAGGAACCCGACGTAAAACATGTCATAATATGCAAATACTTTTAAATTTATCAGAAATTCACCTCGGGTTAAAAAGACAAA